CAGCGGCTTTGCATTTTACAGACGCCTGTAATGCCGACAGCGCGTTCTGAATTGCATCTGGACACAGTCAGATTAAAAGCAATCTGTGTCCTATAGCAGACATACTCACTCACTCATGGAGCTCTGCCCTTCTGGAGGAACCGCCAATCGCGCAGCTACTCAAGAAATTCCCAGCATTTCTATGGAACCCGAAGGTTCATTACCATGTTCACAAGAGCCCTCCACTAGCCCTATCCTGAACCAGATGTATCCAATCCATATCATTCCACCCTATCTCTCTCAGATTCATTTTAATATCGTCCACCACCCTTCGTCTTGGTCTTCCCAATTGTATCCTTCCTTCTGGCTTTCCCACCAATATTCTATATGCAATCCTCCTCTCCCTCACTCATGCTACATGTCCTGCCCATCCAATCCTCCTTGACTTGATCATTCTAATTATACTTGGATAAGAGTACAAGTTATGAAGCTCCTCATAGTGCAGTTATCTCCAATATCCTGTCACTTCATCTCTCTTCGGTCCAAATATTCTCCTCAACACCCTCTTCTCAAACACCCTCAGTCTGTGTTCCTCCCTTAATGTCAGAGACCATGTTTCACATCCATACAACCCTTAGGAAAAATTATAGTTTTGTATATTCTAATTTTTATGTTTTTGGACAGCAGACGAGAAGACAGAATACTCTGGGCTGAAAGGTAGCAAGCATTACCCGAGTTCGGTCTCCTCTTAATTTCCTCCTGAATCAGGTTTTTATTTGTTATAGTCGTTCCCAAATATCTGAACTGTGCCACACTTTCGAAACAACTGTTACCTGTATTTATGCCATGATTTTGCCCTGCGTTTTGGTGATGAGACAACAACTTATACGTACTTAGTTTTCTTTGTGTTTACCTCTAGACCAACCGCCTTACTAGCGTCAATTAAAGTTTCTGTGTTTCTTTTACGGTTTCTACGGTATTATGAACCCGTAGATTCACATAATCAGTATACAGTAGACATACAGACAGATAAAAATAAGCACTAACAATGATGCAAATTACAAACACTTTTGAGCGACAGCAACAGGTAAAATCTGCTCTCACGATTAATTTAAGAGCAGATTAAATTATAGGAAATCTTGCTATTAAACTAACTCCGTGGCCTGTAGTCCGTAAGCGAACTATACCGACCGAGCGACCGCCGCTTGTCGGCGAAGTTACTGCCAACTCTAGCGGACAGAGGGTGTTGCGTGGTCAGCGCAACGGATCCCCACGGCCGTTAATCTCGGTTTTCTAGACCAGAAAATCTTGCTACTACTCGTAATCAGTTCGTAATATTTTGTCTTCCTGTCTCTTACACGTGTATGCAGAGAACAAAATACAAACCTATAGTTTCTCCTTGTTGCATGTGGCTGGAGAACTTCATTTCTAATTCTAATTCGGGGTATGAATTGAGGGTTTTGCTGATGATAATATTTGGATCTAGAGCAGGATAAATATGAGAAACATGGAGAAATTGTACATAATTATAAATTCTACAATTTGGACTCTTCATAACATATTATCGTGTTGCTGAAAGTAAGGAAGATGAACTACAGGTGGCATATAGAGCACATGTGAGCGTAACATCATAATACGAGGATATGAAGGAAGCAAAGAATTCGAGAAGCCAGACGTTGAAAGGAAATTTAAAAAGGAATTCAAAGAAAATCTTTGAGGGTTCGGACTGGGTTCACATTACTCAGTACAGGGACCGGTGGTGAGTTGTGTGAGCAAAGAAATGAGCAATATCATTCGTAAAGGTGTTTTATCTTGTGGGATGTAACGCCGTGTAGTCCGTTGAAAGTCGACCGATATCTCGGAAGAATATATCGTCCCCATCTTGACGGTAAAAGAATAAACCAATCAAGAAACCAGACTGAAGCAGGTAGCAAGAACCTGCTTGGCTTATTTTTCTACCCTGAAGATACAGGCGACATGTTCCGCCGAAACGTAAGTTGAATTTCAAAGGAATGACGGCGTTATGTCCCAAAAGACAAAACTCTTCATAATGACAGTGAGAATCTCAAGTCATGTAATAACATTCTTAGGAAACTATACAATTAATTCTGCGGGTTATTTTATGAAAAGAGTTGAAAAGAAATTAAACAGCTAATTTTTATCCTTTCTCGTTTATTGTTGAAAGGACTCAAGAAAACCTTCAGATAGAACTGCTTACCTTTCATAGTAATAAAGAAGCTGAGCAGAAGTTTAATTCTGTAAAGCGCGCAAATTATTTTGGGCTGCTACCTGAGTCAAAATACATCAACTCCAAAGACTATGAAACAAAAAATATCAGCTTTAGTGTCCATACAGATCCCTGATAAATCGTCTTTTTAATGAACTGGAACAAATTATGCTTGAGATTAGGGCTTATAGAGGAAGATTTGGCTACAATTTCGCGCAATGTAACATAAACGTTTAAATCAAACCCTGAAAATTTATGGAAACTTTAAACAGCACCCTCTGCCCTGTCGCTCTGTCCCTGTGTTTAATCAACTAAGCTCATAATTAAGACGTATGGGGGAATAGATATATAGCTCCACAATTCTTGACCTCGGCACTAGACGGAAGTAGTGGTCACTTCACGTCCCGGACGCTTTCCCCCCGCGGAAGGACCCCCAGTACCCATTGGATAGGATGGACGCCAGAGCCGTTCTGGAAGTTGTGAAGAAGAGACATATCCTTGCTTCTGGTGACAGCACGCGCCTAACCGTTGCACCAATCACTTCAGCAAATTTGAGTGAACATAAAATGGATTACAACGCATTTTCTGGGAAATATAGCACTAAACCCTTCAATTACGAAAAGTACGATCGGATTCTGGGGCACGCGGTAGCGTAGTTGGTTGAGGCACTATGCTACAAGCCGGGAAGTCGCGGGATCGAGTCCCGATGAGGTGGATTTCTTCAATTTAACTAATCCTTCCAGCCGCACTATGGCCCTGGGTTCGACTCAGCCTCTAACAGAAATGAGTACCAGGAATATTCTTGGGGGTAAAGGGAGGCCGGCGCGTAGGGGTGACAGCCTTGCCGCCATCAATGAGCCGATTGTCTAGAAAATGTGGGAAGCTCAACATCTCACAACCCTATGTGCCTTCACGGCCTGGTACAGGGATAGCTTTACTTTTATGAAAGAGTTAAATAGTTCCATCCAGTGTGACTGGTTAAGATTTTTTTTTTCTTATTTCAATTATTCATGCCCTTACATGTTTCGGTCTTCAGAGACCATCTTCAGGGGGACACCTTTACATCAGTACTGTTAGAAGCCACTATTACAGTACATGTTCTAAAAGTTAAAATATATATATAAATAATATACAATATACAATACATTTACTTTTACTTTACTTTACGATCGGATTGTAGATGTGTACCCCTAATTCATAATGAAGTTTAGAATGTGTATGTCCTTCATCAGAATGGAGAAGAAGCCCAAACTATGTGATCGATAACAAAATTTCCTCATTTTCATGTGTCTCAAACTCAGATTACGAAATGTAATGCATATATTTAATTTCAAACTGTGATAAAACTTTAACTAGTATATCTGGATCTTCTTAATGTAGAGTGCATTTCAATTCCCCACGCAAACATTGTTAATATTATTAACTATGCAGACCTAACACAGTATAAACAGGCGTGGTCGAAGTGGTTAATCGGTTAGTATCATCAATTAAACGTAAGTTACAAAGGAAATTTAAATTGTGCCCTAGTTCAGTTTATGTCACGAAACAGGACGGTCTACGTGTCAACACGGAAAGCACAAGAAAGTAAACGCACCAGTAACGAGTATTGTGGTGGTGTTCTCTGAAAACATTCTAATTCTCTTGAGTATTAATGCTGTGCTTAATTTGTGGTTAACCAGAACTAATGTTACGGACTACATTGCTACAGTTAGGCACTTCTGCAGGAACTAAAAATTAGTAACTTTAGTTAGGAAGTGATAACGCACGGAAAACGAAAAATTACCAGATCAGGCAGTAAACGCAGAATGCGACAGCTTCCGACAATGGACATATTTCTTGCTGAGAAGGAAATTTGAATTATAATCGAAGAGATATTTTTACGTTTGGATTTAAACACGGGAAATATAAAGCGATACAAAGTATGCGACACACAATATGCCCCTGTACGCGAACCCCACAGAAATTGCAGAAGGGGAATTGCAAGGAAATGATTTTCGAAACAACATTTATATTTTTGTTTCTTTGTGCTTGTAGAATGACTTCGGGTTCCTCAACTGATGAATACGATTACTCGGACACAGTAAATAACTTACTGGGACCAATGGTTCACAATATAGCAAACAGATATTTTATTCACAGCCAGTGTATTTGTATCATCACAGAATGGAATGGAAACATATTAAAATATATTCCGAAATCAGTAACGATATTTCACATCCAAATAGGAGGGATTGGATCTACGATACAGGAAATAGAAGACAGTGACTTGCTTGACTCTTCGAAGCTGACGAATGGAACACAGGCTTTTGAGAGGCTTCTGACTGAAACAATGGATGCTGGGTGTGAGTCCTACATAGTACAAGTGAGAAACATAGCAAGTGTAGTTCACAGTTTTGCTAGAACTAGCCGCCGTGCCGTAATCAGGTCCTGCAAGAAAGTTTTGTATCTCCCAGCAACACTAGAAGGCGAAATGTTTCCTTTGAAAAATATATTCTCTATGAACGAAATGAATCATATGCCTGATATAATCATCGTACGATTTGTAAATGTGAGAAACCTATCGAAATTTGTACAATATGAGTATGAAAACATGAACTACAAATGTAAACGTCACGAGAGTAAGGTGATAATGAATTCGAAAACTTGTGTCACAGCGACTTCCCATGTAAAGAACAGGCGTCAGACGTTTTCCACAGATATCGATAAGAGAGTAAAGTTTAGAGGGCATGAAGGAAATAAATGTGACGCATCAGAAGGGCGCCGTTGCAAAGAAGGTCCCGATAGCAAAAATAAAATGAAAAATAGATCTATTAACTTTAACAAGGCAAGTGGCTTAAATAAGGCCGCTGACAACGCAAATGTTATTGAGCTTGTAACTCTCAAGTTTGTGGGGAAAAATCCTTCGTCAGGGACCGTACTGGATGTCTGGATTGCGGATGAGCAGAATGTTGGTTTTCTTGCGTGCGCTGACTTGTTCCCAGACAAAATGAGGAATCTGGAAGGCAGAGAAATCAGAGTCACTACAATCAACTATTTGCCTTACGTTGTTCTTATTCATGACAACGAAACACCCGTTTATGATGGAGTAGAATTCTTAGTGTTCATGGAATTCGCAAATAAAATTAATGCTTCTTGGAAACTTGTCTTGGATGAAGACAATTTCTGGGGTACTGCTTGGCCCAACGGCAGTGGAAATGGTATTTTAGGTAAGAAATATGAAAACAGGATCTTTGTCGTAACTGTTTCCACTTTAATAACAATTAATCAATACAATTAAATAAAGTTAAATTTTTGCACATATTTTGTAATAAAATTTTGCATTGACGTAACGGGAAGCATACCAGAGATGAATAACAACAATAATAAACTTACAAAAAATATTACACTTGAATATTTTGTGTCCATAAATTTATTTAATATAACTATAAAGACAATATTCCTATATCTCATTATTTATTTGGAAATACATTTTGTGAACTAGCATCAAAACGAACACCTGTTACGAACGAAAGAAATCAGTGCCCTTTTCTCGTCCATAAGGTATTTGGAAGTACAAAAATGAGAAAAATTGTAATATTTTTCATGTCTATAGAGCGGTTTCACTATTCTTGACTCCAGTTCAATATATGAGCACTGCGTGTCACCTCGCTAAACACAGCTAAATTATATTGCAAAAGATAATAAAATAGATTTCTCCATAATATACTTTTCCATATGACTTACCACCTCCTGAAAGATACCGAAATATCAGCACCGTTCATAATTTAACTCACAATCGGACACGATCCTGAGCCAGTGCCATCCAACATACAGTCTGTTCTTTAATCGATTGAATGTAATTTTCCTGATTCCACGTTCCAGAATTTGTACCTGACAGGGTTCTAGCACTATTCCTTGCCTCTCCATTTGAACTTTAAGATAAACTAACCGTACTTCCATTATCCTAGCAAAACTAGCTCAAGAAGTAGAATGTTGCCTACAAATTGTTGTCTTAGCCTACTAAAGCCATGTTGGGTAAGAATGATTTCCTCACAAAGCTGACGTGTAGGAAGAGAATCAAACTACGGTACAAACTCGATTATTAGGCGATCTCTAATTCTTCCAATGATAAAAATCATTTTTTTTTTACAAAATAAGAAAAAGTATACTATTAGGAAATGTCATATCCTTCACGTTTATTCTTAAAGACCAGCAAATAAGGCGATCTCTCTTTTCTAAGGAGCAGTATTTGAAAAAATGCCTCGTCTTATATTCGGGATAATACGGTGTTTCATAAAATAAAAAATACTTTCGTGTTCGTACACCTGATTTGACTTAAAATAATTCCAAATATACTTACTTACTTACTTACTCATGGAACTGAGCCCCTCTTGAGGAGCCGCCAATTCTGCAGCTACTCAAGAATTTCGCAGCATTTTATGGAACCCGAAGGTTCATTACCGAGTTCACAAGAGCTTTTCCACTGGTCCATTTCCTGAGACAGATCAATCCTGAGCCATACGTTCTACTTATGGCTCCGTTCACGGGCTTCTTTCCCAACTCCCCCCCCCTTTCCTTTTTCTCTTTACCAGGAAGTTCTACTGTTCCGTTCCATGCCTACCACGTGACCCCCCTCCAGCTGTTGCTAAGATCTAATGAGTAGAAAGGAGGAGGGGAAACTTCACTTGTATAGCAGTCGCAGAAGAAGGGTAGCGTCCCTCCTTGGGGGTTGAGAGGACTATTTTGGAAGCACTCGGTGATTAACAGTCAGAGAAGCAGATAGCTAGGGGTTGTTTGGGCGTGGCCAGCCTAAATTTGGTTTGAGTTCCTTTCCTTCTGACTGAAAGAAAAAAATGTCTACATTTCTGGGACGAGTCGTGACTAAATTCGTGTTTTCTTGCGACTTGTATATTATCATTTTTGCCGACCTTCCTGGTCTGTTGCCCTCGAAGTTTAAGCAGGGTAAAAAAAAATAAAGCTATCCTGTACCAGGCCGTGAAGGCCCATAGGTTTGTGAGACGTTGAGGTGTAGTTGACAAATTAACTTGTGTGCTTATACCTCTCGCGGGGTGGTTTTTGATAAATAATCGTAAGGGAAAGGAGCGGCTCGTCGTCAACGCAGTGAGTGAAATTCTGGTTCGGGTTTCATTTTCCTTACCTTGCTCTTTTGGTCGAAATTCAAGTTCGATGTGGTTGTTGATGAAAAAGGGGCGTTGACGGTGAGAGGGGCCACTCCCTAAATGCGCGACATAACTGTTCAAAGTCGCGAAGATAGAAATTGCATTTTTATTGTATGTACAAAGTTTGTCTCGAAAGTAATGCAATTTCTTTTTTCCCGCTGCTCCTCCTGGTCGCAGCGCGTTCGGACAGGTTGGGAAAGGGGGATGGGGGACTTAGCTTCACAACGCCTCCAAGCTCAGTTTGCTCTGAGCTCTGGGAACGTCAGGATCGCTGTTTCCGTAAACCTCCTGTTAGTGCCTGTGTCACGATGCGCAATGGAGAAAAGTATCGAACAAGGTTACGCGATCAAGTTCTGTGCTAAACTGAACAAAAGCCTCGCCGACACCCACCAAATTATTCAGGAAGCCTACGGTGACTCTGCTCTCTCCTATTCTCAAGTCTCCAGGTGGTTAAAGTTGTTTAAAAATGGCCGGGAAGAGGTGGAGGATGACCCCCTCTCTGGACGGCCGTCAACCAGCAAAAGTGACAAAAATGTGTCTCGTGTTCGTGTTCTTTTAAATACCGATCATCGAATGAGTGTTCGGGTGATAGCAGAGACTCTCAGTATTCCGAAAACCGCTCTGCACGTCATCGTTACCGACAATTTGCACATGGCAGCTGCACCACGACAACGCTCCCAGCCACACCGCTCTGCGCTTCCGGGAGTTTTTGGCGAAGCACAGATTGGCAACGTTGCCCCAGCCCTCCCACAGTCCTGACCTGGCTCCCGCAGACTTCTTTTTGATCCCGGGGATCAAGACCGCCCTGAAAGGAACCCGTTTTGGAACCACTGAAGCGATCCAAACCGCCGTGACAAAGGCTCTAAACGAGGATGCCTTCCAGGATGCGTACCATGCATGCAAAAGTCGCTGGCAAAAGTGTGTGGATGCCCAAGGGGAGTGCCTTAAAGAATTTTAAACGTTTTAACGATATCTTGAATAATTTTTTACGTAATTAATTGCATTACTTTCCGGACAATCCCTGTATTATATTGGTGGTTTGTTTGTCATATTAAACATATGTAGAAGTGTTAACTGGAGGTTTTTCGGGGCTACTGCAAGTCAAGATCTACAGTTTGGACACCCCACTCTATCTCGGGGCAAAGAGGCATGAGAAGCAACGTAGAGGAACCAGGGACGAAAGCAGCGTCTCCCCGTTCTAGTTAGGTTAAGAGGGGAGGGGCTTGTCAATCCAATCCATACCATCCCATCCTATCTCTCTAAGAGCTATTTTAACATTATCCACCAATCTAAGCCTTGGTCTTCCCAGTGGTCTCTTTCCTTCTGGCTTTCTAACCAATATCCTATATGCATTCCTCGTCTCCCCCATTCGTGCTACATGATCTGCCCGCCTCATCCTCCTTGACTTGATCATTCTAATTATACATGGAGAAGAGTACAAGTTATGAAGCTCCTCATTATTCAGTTTCCTCCAACCTGCTGTCACTTCATCTCTCTTGGGTCCCAATATTCTCCTCAACACCCTGTTCCAAATATTGTGGATTTAAATTTAAAACGTCACTAAAGTTAATTCAATTATTTTACTTTAATTTCAAAACAAAAAGCATCAGGAAGTTAATTGGAATTCTCACATTTCTATGATAGGTAATATAGCAGAAGACAGGGCGGACGTGGGGTTTGCAGCCCTGTATTCTTGGCACTCAACTTTCCTCTGGACAGACTACACGGTATCTTGTTTAACCGCCGGCGTGACGTGCCTGGTCCCCAAACCCAAGATGTTACCGACGTGGATGTCACTATGGTTACCATTCTCTCCTGCTATGTGGACTGCCATAGTTGTGTCCATTGTTGTCATAACACTGGCTTTATACATGCTCGCTAAAGCTTCAAGCAGGCATTTCGGTATGTACTGGGATTAATCTTCTAAGGATTAGATATCTCGCGTTGTTTTACCAGTCAAGTCACAAAGAGTTAATGTAACTGCAGCTGTAAGCTAGGAGAAAGATCGCCAGCCATCTCGGTGCTGCCTCGGGTATTCCCCGAACACATACTGCAGTAACAGTGCGCTAAACTTAACGACAACGAAATATGTGACGCATGTAAATTGTATTTAGTGATGAGAAATGCATACCAAATTATAACAGAAAATTCTGAAGGGAAAAGACAATTCTGAATTGTAGGCATAAACAGAGGTGTATTATTGAAATATATTTGAAGGTATAGACACAATTTAACTAGCCCAGAATGTGGTCCAGTGGTGGCTCTTGGGAATACAGTAATAAACTTTCTTACTTCATAAATTGCGACGAATTTCTTTATCAGAAAAAAAAACTGTCAAATTCTCAGAAAGTGGAATAATCTCGTAATTTTGCGGTTTATTTAGAATATTATCAATATATCAGACTATGTAACGTGAAATGATGGGGTTAGCGGTGAATTGCAAAGGATTTGGAAGAAAGACGGTATAACCGAAGCATGGTACTGTCTCAGAATTTGCCCAGAGGGACTGAGGATTACCATGAAAACCCTCAATCAGGAGAGCCGGTGTCTCTGTCGAGATTTGAACTGACTATCTCCCGGATATAAGTCTAGAGCGTTACCGCTGCTGTAACCTGCTAGGACGATATTCTGTTCTATGGCATAATTGGTAACAAAGTGTTACTAATATGTCTTCGGAAAATTCTGCGCAGAGTTGAAGACAATAAATCAGCCTCACATTGCGTTGCGAAGAACAGTCGGTATAGCGACGGGCTAAGAGCTCGACGGACGGCGTTCGATTGCTGGCAGGAGCAACATATTATTTTATACTCCACAGCGTCCAGACCGACTTTGGGGACAACTCCTATCCAGTGCGTACCGGGGAATTTTTCTTTGAGGATTAAGAGGCAGACCACTTGGCTCCATCTAATGTCGAGGTTAAGAATGGTGGAGCTATACCTCCGCTTCCCCACATATCTTCACAGCGTGGTGCTTAATGAATTATCACTGGGGCAACTTTGACTTATGGACCACTATATATTTGTTTTCGTTTACCTGAAGTAACAGTTACAAGAGTGTGCTATTGTCCAGTTTGATGGCCCTCGGCTGAGCCCCCATGATGGTTAATTCTCCAGCAGAAGGCAAAAGGGTAAATTTGTCCCTGTGCTTAATTGATTCAGCCCACCCCATGAAGACATATGGGGAAGAAGTATAGCTCAACCATTCTTGACCTTGGCACTATATTGAGGTGAGTGGTTAGCTATACTCCCCGGTCTCTATGCCCCCGTAGAAAGACCCCTCCCCCCAGTTCACATTTGATAGAAGACCAAGAAGGAAATGAGAGAATGACTTTAAGATAAGTCTTAGAGACTTGGGTTATGATGGATGAAATTAGCTCAAGATATATTTAGGAGTATCAGCGGTCTTAAAAACAAGATTATCAGTTATTTTCGCGAAAATTCTGCGGCAGTATAGAACGTCATCATCTGAGTGCTCTCGAATATAAAAGAAAAATTTATGCAACCCGTACCACACGTAATCTTCGTACACGTCTCGCCAGCATAAAACTACAAAACATTTCAATGATCCGCATGTTATCGCCAACATGTTGGAGGCTGAATATGCTACAGCTTTGGCGTGATTGCCACACATTATCATAAATTGTATCTTAAGCAAATTTGATTTATTTTTGAAACCATAAAAATGTTTTAAGGCTATTGAATGGGAAAGAAAAACATAAAATTTCGTGCTGTCTTTAGTGGCATGACATTCATACCTAGATTCTTGGAAATGTCCAGTCAGTTGAAACGTTTTTAGAGGCGCAGAAAAATGGAGAGTGGTATGCTGTCATAAGCAACTTTTTCCCTTGCAAGTAAACTGGAACAAATCCCTTGATATATGGACTATTACGAACAGGGACATTTACTCTGGAATCCTACGCCACGTGGATCAACTGCTTCTTGACTACACTGGGGATGTTTGTTCTTCAGCCTCCAGTAGATGCTGAAGCGGCCGGTTATGGTCCAATGAGGGTCTTTGTTACCAGCTTGTTAGTCTTCTTTCTCCTTGTTTCGACGGTGTATAGCGGAGGCCTTGCTTCAATTCTAACTGTGCCCAGGTGAGTTAAATGAACAGAATAAGATAGTAGAAGCTGAGGAGGAAGAACTAATACAAACGCTGTCTGTAGTAGTGATGGCTAGATTGCTTTTGCTCTATGTAGACATCATTTCGGAGGATAAAACTCAGTGACTTACAGTAGACAAGGTAGGGTTTCTTCACGAATCTTTCCTCCATAAAGAGTTAAAGGATATATCCGTATTCTTTAATATTCCAAATGCTAGAATGATGATAATGACGATGGTGATGCTATTTTATCGCTTATTGCATAGTGTCGAATAGTAGGCTGACAGATAAACGACGAACTGGAAAGGATTTTAAAGGTTCTGGCCTAACTGAGGTACAAAGGCCGCGCCATAGCTCAAGCGGTTAGTCGCTGGCTTCCCACCACGGCTGCCCGGGTTCGATCCCGGGTCTGGTCAAGTGGGATTTATGGTGGACAAAGTGGCGCTGGGGCAGGTTTTCTCCGAGCACTTGGGTTTCCCCTGCCAATCCTCATTCCACCAATTGCTACACAATCACCCTCACCTTTCATCTGGGGCTGATACAATAGGCCAGAAGTGACCGCAGTACAAGTGACTTAGTCCCACCTCACTTACTTACTTACTTACTTACGCGTGGAGCTTAGCCCTTTTGGAGGCGCTGCCAATTCTGCAGCTACTCAAGAATTTCCCAGCATTTTATGGACCCCGAAGGTTCATTATCATGTTCACAAGAGCCCTCCACTGGTCCCTATCCTGAGCCAGATCAATCCAATATATACCATCCCATCCTGTCTCTCTAAGATCCGTTTTAATAGTGTCCACCCACCTACGCCTTGGTCTTCCGAATGGTCTCTTTCCTTCTAGCTTTCCCACCAATATCCTATACGCTTTCCTCGTCTCCCCCATTCGTGCTACATGCCCTGCACATCTCATCCTCCTTGACTTGATCATTCTAATTATACTTGGAGAAGAGTACAAGTTATGAAGCTCCTAATTGTGCAGTAGTCCCACCCCACTAGCAATAAAAAAACTGAGGTACTATGCCAACATTTGCATGGAGAGACTGAGGAAAACCAATAACGATCTCACTCGGGTTATTCAGTGTTCCAGCTGAGGTTCGAACCGAACACCTCCCAAACACAAATCTAGAACATCATCGCCAGGCCAACCCATTATGTAATGGCCATTCTTATGCGATGTGAGAGATATGATTATAATTGTGATTAGCAGACGCAACCTATAGTCTACCGAGAACTTAGATCTGCGATTGCAATGGCTCTGTTATCTTCGGTATGATAATAGCGAATTGGGCAACTTCAGCTTGCTATGTCGATGCACACTAAAGCCTTTACTACGATAGTAACGGCGCGAAATGTTGTGGTTACATTACCTCCTGCGACTGTTACTTGTTTCGTGTGCGGCTAAACAGGTCATAGCTGTCGACATGATTTCCCGCCGCTATCGTCACGTCGCAGGTACACAAGGCTATTATCTAGATGAGTAGTATTCCTAAGGAACTGAATCCAGAGTAATTTCGCTGCCACAACCTAAAATTTTCTGTCTAATATCACAGTCCCACGAGAAAAATGCGAAGTTACTTATTAATTCTGAAACTGCCTAGTTGTTTTAAGATTTCAACTCTCAGAGAGTGTCTTGGTCTGCGGGAGCTGAAATGTGTCTATGAGCCTAAGTAACTCTTGTAAGTATTGCCGCGTGTGTCAGTGACTAAGACGCGGGTTTGGATTGGTGAATCGGTTTATTGGATCTTCACTAGTCGTGACTACAATTAGTTCTTACACTCTCAAGATTACTGTAACTATGGCACACGTTAAGTCTTCACAGGCCGACTTAGAATTCTTCTTCAACTACGAACTTCCTGTGGCTGTCTCCTACCGAGGACTAAGCTGTAGTCAAATTCAAAGTCACGTTGCTACTGATGGTCAGTCAGTCAGTCAGTAACTCTTGGTGTCGAGCCCCATCTGGGGTTAATGACCAGATACTTATTACTGTTTGACGGTTATGGTCTTATTTTTGTGGGGCACCCTCTCTGACGAGAGGACGGGCCTGTATATATGCTACTGGCACTCGCCAGCGAAGTCTCTCTCGGGTCTGAGTCCCTTGGTACTCGCGACCATATTTTACTGTGTCAGATTTGAGACTTCCTTTTCGTCGCCTTCTACGACTCGCAGGGTCACGGTGGAGGTATTCGACACCGCCTCCACACGGGACTACCAACCAGAATTTCCTAAGCTGTAGCGCCGATGGTCTTCAAGATAACTCCTCTGCACGAACCCCACGGAAAACACCGTCTCCTATTGTTAAGGATGCGTGCTTACAACTTCTGTTTCTTAACACTGGACATGGCGCGGATCACATTATAAAACGAGTCACATGACACTTATCTCGCCAGTCAATTGGCGCGCTGACTGTTGCCTTGCAACGAGCCATAAATATTCGTCCTATTGTTGTGTGCGCTTATGACAGAAGGTGTTTATGGTGTCGTTGCGTAGCTATACACGTTACAGTATAAATGATTACTGACTGATAATTGGTTCATTTAATCCGTCACACATATTCGTAAATACAAAACATACAGACACAATACAATATTAAATCTAATACTTCATTATACCTTGTCACACTCACTCTATGCACCCTTCATACCATCGCTGTGTAACAGCTTCGAATTTAATTAAGAGGCGATTGAACTCGGGTAATGCTTGTTACCATTCAGTCCAGAACCTTTTGTCTTCTCGTCTGTTGTCAAAAAACATAAAAATTAGAATATACAAAACTATCATTTTGCCTGTGGTTCTGTATGGGTGTGAAACTTGGCCTCTGACATTAAGGGAGGAACATAGACTTAGGGTGTTTGAGAAGAAGGTGTTGAGGAGAATATTTGGACCAAAGAGAGAAGAAATCACAGAAGATTAGAGAAAACTGTATACTCAGGAGCTTCATAACTTGTACTCTTCTCCAAGTATAACTAGAATGATCAAGTCAAGGAGGATGAAGTGGGTAGGCCATGTAGCACGAATGGTGGAGAAGAGGAATGCGTATACGATATTGGTGGGAAAGCCAGAAGGAAAGAGACCACAGGGAAGACCAATGCGTAGGTGGGTGGACAATATTAGAATGGATCTTAGAGAAATAGGATGGGATAGCATGGATTGGATAAATGTGGCTCAGGATAGGGAACAGTGGAGGGCTCTTGTGAACACGGTGATGAACCTTCGGGTTCCATAAAATGCTGGGAAATTCTTGAGTAGCTGCAGAATTGGCGGCTCCTCAAGAAGGGCTCAGCTCCATGAGTAAGTAAGTAAGTAAGTAAGTAAGTAACCCATTTCCTTAGATAATTTGTATTATCTATACGAGTATTCCCCCTCGTTGGTGTCTCCGCCTTATCGTGGTGAGGGGGTTTGAGTATGCCAAGGACCCTGAGAGCTATACCAGCGGCAGCGTAGCTACTGGCAGGGGGCCCCCCTCTGGCCCGGGGACA